TGCTCTGATTGGTCAATAAAAAAAACACTGATTGGCCAGTGGCCAGGCAGGAAGTAGGTGGGACAAGGAGAGAGGAGAATTCTGGGAAGCGGAAGGCTGATTCGGAGAGACACTGCCAGCCACTGCCATGACCAGCAGCATGTGAAGACACCAGTAAGCCACCAGCCACATGGCAAGGTATAGATTTATGGAAATGGATTAATTTAAGCTATAAAAACAGTTAGCAAGAAGCCTGCCATGGCCATACAGTTTGTATGCAATATAAGTCTCTGTGTTTACTTGGTTGGGTCTAAGCGGCTGTGGGACTGGCGGGTGACAAAGATTTGTCCTGACTGTGGGCAAGGCAGGAAAACTCTAGTTACACAGTTGGCTATGTTTCAAGTAGTAGGCATGATTTCTTTCTTGTTGACCAGATCTTAAGTCCAGTTAGGTAATTGTTGGTTATTACTAAGGTATGCATGCCACTACTGAAACTTTAGGGTTCTTGTGCCATGCTGGTCATTGTTGTGATTAATTATATCCACATTTAAGTGTAGTAGTCCTCATCCCTCATCAAGAAAACTCTTTGAAACAGATGGAGACCATTAAGGCAAACCATAAAGAATCAAAATGCAAGGTCAGAGAGTCCAATCATAGTGAAAACACCCACACGACAGTTTTCACACCTAAGGCTCAGGGATCATTGTGGAAGATAAATGGAAAGATTGTAAGAGCCAGAAGAGCAGTTTGCTGCAAGCCTCTGTCTTCTAGGAATCTTAGAAGCCACAACCATACAGTCTTACCAACACTATTGCCTAAATGTGACCTGAACAAGGACAACAATAGACATGTCACAGCCGAAGGAGAAAGCCTGTGCAGCCTCGACCCTACACAAAGAACTGCAGGCAACTAAGGAATACTGAGTGGGAAATAGTCTTCCCCAGTGAAGAGCACATTAACCTATTATCCAATACTAAATAGTCGCCCTGAAAACACATATACAAATAACTTACAGGCTGAGCAGGTGATACTTATGAATATATATGTACATACATATACACATATGTGTGTAAAAACAATTAATGAAATAAAAAGTTATGGATTTAAAGAATAAGGAGAGGCAGGTGGAGGGGTTTGGAGAGAGGAATGGAAAGGGGCAAATGATGTAATTATAATCTCAAAAAATTAAAATAATCAAATAATCCCAGTTCTTCCCCTTGCTTGCTGTATTGCATTTGGTGAAGTACTAAACCGAGGTCCAAACTTCAGTTTTCTGTTTTCAACTGAGAAACTATAATATTAACCTTAAAAGGCTAAAGATATGAAACTAGATATGTGAAAGCTACTTCAAACCTTACTGGCACTTCCCAGTTTAGTCTAAAGTTTCGAATATCAGCTAGCCCTGCTGTGCTCTGGATCAGAGGTGTATTTGTATTTCATAAAATTAGCACTTAAGTAAATGTCTGGCACTTGGTTGTTACTCAGTGAGTACCCAACTTACTTGTAGTTGTGGAAGCACTATTGCTACACTTACATTCTTTCTATGCTGGTAATAACCATGATTAATGTGTAAATATTGTTAGTTAGTCATTTCAATCCCTGTATATGGAGTTTCGCTCATGTGAAAAACAGAAGGCAAATTCATTCCTGCCACTTTAAATAATTACTTAGAACCTTTCATTTTCATACCAGTTTCTGACCATGTGAATTTGGATACCCTTTCCAAGCAGCATCCACATGGTACCTGAAGATACCTCTAAGACCTCACAGTTTATTACATATAGAAAGCTTTTAGATTAAACCAGACCATCCCAAATCAGGAATCATTTGTCACATCATGTGATTATAGACAACTGGAATATAATTGTACCTGCTATCTTCAACTATGTCCTGGTTATCTTTTATTGCCAATTTGACACAACCTAGAGTCATCTGGAAAGAGGGAAACTCTATTGAAGAATTGCCTCCATCAGATTCGACTGCGGCCTTGGTAAATCATTGAACTGAGAGAGTCCAGCCCACTGTGGGAAGCACCAAGCCTACACATATGGGCCTGGGCTACATAGGAAAGCTATTTAAGAGAGAACTAGACAGCAAGGCAGCAAGCAGTGTTCCATGTTTTCTGCGTCAGTTCCTGCTTGAGTTTCTACCCTGGCGTCCTTCAATGATGAATTATGACCTCGAAATACAAGCTAAAATAAATCCTTTCATCTCCAAGATGCTATTGGTCATGGTGCTTATCACAGAAATGGAAAGCAAACTAGAATGGATCACCATGTATATTTACTGAGTCTCCCAAAGTACACACAATGTTTTTTAACCCACTATTGAGTGTGTGCAGCTGTGAACTTCTTAAATTTGATTATCATACTGGAACAGCATTCAGTGATAGGACCTTCCTCCTCTGTAAGCTTTACCTGTTCCTACACTTCCTGTCTCCCATCCTGCTGCTCTGAATGTGCACTAAGCCTTGTTGGCTGGACACTCAGATTATTCACATAATTACTCTGGTTTGAAGTCTAGAAAGTAGAGGCTCCTTACTTTAGAAAGTCATTACCTTCTCGACATTTCTGCTGCCAAATATTTCTACAGTGAGCTCAACATGAAACCTCGGGGGCTGAGAAACCCAAATTCAAAAGCTCAAGACTGCAAGAGAGGAAACACTACATCCTGGTACTTCCACTTTTATTCTTAGGTTTTTCAGAAAATCTTTTATCCCTCCTAAAAAGCATGTTTCCAGCTACCAAAATAAAGCTGTTAACACATTGCAGGAAGAGTAATGTCAAAGCTAACAACTATTTTGATTCTCAAATGTAAAAGCAAAATGATAACTTTTAATTTGTGACCATGAGGGAGAGTACTACTTTAAATTCTCTGCTAACTATCTTCCATATGTGAAATCATCACCTAACTTCCCCTCCATATACACCTGATACAAACACGGGCATAAAGGCACAGGTAAGTTTGTCTTTGTTTTTTCATCTGCTTCAAACCTCCTGAGTTGAGCACTCATCCTCAGCGATGCAGAATACACTTGTATGCACTTCTCACACATAATTCTTCCCTGACGGTGTGTTTTAATTCGTATCTGATAGTGGGCCAATCTTGCCTTGCTGGCTCTCCTTTATCTCCATTATCTCACTTCCAAAAATCCATCCCCTTTACAGTCCTCTTTCTCAGTATTTTCCACCCTGGGATATACGTTCTTGAGAATGGAATCTTTGCCTATTCCACCACAATCGTATAAAGAGTAAGCAGAAATATTTAGAAGGTAGTTAGGGATTATGCTGTTTTAGTAAAGTGGTGGTTATAAATTCTCCAATATCTATAACTTCACTAGCCCTGAGTAGCTGGCTAGGTTTCTAGTACCAGGCATAATTTCCCTCTTATTGAACAGACCTTAAGTCAATCGGAGAACATTTGTTAGCATCAACGTATGTGTGCCGCCACTACATATTTAGGGTTATTGTGCTGGCAAGGTTTTCATTGTTTCTATTTTTATTTTTGAGATTATAATATATTACATCATTTTCCCTTCCCTTCC